ATTTTTTTTGGTTTCTTAGCCAGGTAAACGACGCAAGATTATTGAGAAACCCTCGTCTGATGACGAGGCCATCCAACATCCCAACCGTTCACGTTCGAGCTCGTCGGACTCTGTACCTCTCGCTAGGCCTTTGCGTGCAGACAAGGGCAAGGCTCGCGCCAAGACGCCTCCGCCTGTTGCAGGTTCATCTCGAGTTGACAAGGGAAAGGCTCGGGCGAGGACTCCTCCTACTACTCGTAGTTCCGCCAAGCGTACTGCCTTTAAGCCACCGGTGGTCAAGCAGAAGGAAACTTCTGTTCAACCCAAGCGTCGCGGTCGCCCTCGTAAGAAGTGTAAGCTTTTTCTCTTTCTCAATTTGCTTTTTAACTTTATAATTCGGGTTTTTTCCAGCTCCCGTTATTTTCCAAGAGCCCATCGTGTTCGACAAGAAGCGATTTAGTAAGTCGTTCTTCTTACTAGTATTTTGGTTACCCTGCTGACTTTCTTTTTAGAACGTGCCACCGCTAGATTTGGGCTTAAAGAGCTCCCCGCGGTTCTTAAGGGTACACAAATCCATGTATGTCTCCTCCTCTCATTTTTGTCTGAGTTTTCATAGGTACTGATACCTGTTTTATTAGATGCCCGAACCTTGCCTTCAGTGCTCCGCGCGCAAGGATTCCGCTGTCAAGAACTGCACCTTTCGTGGGTGGGGAACTCCCTGCGGTCCTTGCGACGCGGCGCATGTTTCTTCGTGCGAGTACTATCTGAATGATGAACGCCGAGGGGCCGTCAGGGATGTCATCCGTAACCGGTTGGCTATTCATGCGCCTTCAGGTATGATTTTTATTTTTATTTTATAGTCTTTTTAATGACTTTTCACTTATTTTTCTAGCTATATCTGCGCTGATGGAGTCCATTGAAGAAGACACGCTTCATATGCGCACCCTATCCGCAGTCCTTGAGGCCATTCGCCATCGTTGCGACGCCAATCTTCGAGAGTTCGCAAACGCCATCGCGGACCTGTGTCTCACCGCCGAGCCTGGAACTCTTCTAGGCACTGTTTTCGAGACTCGCGAGGAGTTCGGCTCGTGGTACAGCTTCGTTCAAGACTTTGTAGATACTCAGGGGGTCCCAGTGCCTGCGGGTTCAACGACGGCCGATTTGGAGAGACTCGTCTCACTTTTTCAGCGAGACGATTCTCCTCCCATTGCTGGGCCTTCATCTCTGACACCTCGTCAACGCCGCGTCCGCTCGCTGTCCCTTATCCTTCTATCGCCGTTGC